GAAACTAAGCTCAAGGGTAGCAGAAATTTTGTTGTAAATAGTTTAGAATCAGATAATGAAGTTACATTTACCACTTCTAGCTCAGGATGTTTCACTTGCGGTGACAAGACACATTATGCTTCACACTGCCCCAAACGAGGCGGAACTTTTGGTAGGAGTAGGCCTAACAATTTCTCTAGAGGTAGATTTCAGAGAAGCCGTAGGCCAGTTAGAGGATCATCATTTAGAGGACCCCGTTATAACTTTAGACCACATGAAAGGGCAAATAATGTAGGCCTATCAAACGAACAGCCTATTTCTTTCATTGCCATGACAGGCAACAATGAAGTCGTTTCAAATATTGCTAATGAGAATCAAACCTTCATTCTAGACTCGGGGGCGAGTAGTCATTTAGTAAAAGAAGAGTTGGAGAAGTATATGTCTGAGGTAAAATTATTAACTAACAATATAAACATTCATGTAGCTAATGGTCAAGTTATGTCTACTAATAAAATAGGTACCTTGAATGTTATCTGTCAGAACATAAATATAACTATTGAAGCATTGATTGTGCCAAATCTTAAACATAACCTACTAGCAATAAGTAAATTAACAGAGAAAGGTTTCCAAATTGTGATTGATAAGGATAAGCTAACGATCAACTCCAAAAACATCAAATTAACTAGTATTTGTGAAGGAGGCCTATATTCACTCAAGCTCAAACCGGTAGTAAATACCTATGAATGTAATTTAACCACACCTGATGACCTATGGCATAAAAGACTAGGTCACCTAAACAGGAAAGGACTTGTCAAGTTGGGTCTTCCATATTCAATGGACAAATGCACTGCTTGCATAGAGGGAAAAGCAACAAGATCGCCGTTTATGAAAAATAACAAGAAGTCAACACACATCGGAGAACTGATTCATTCAGACATTTGTGGGCCAGTAGATCCGGACACTCATGATGGATACAGGTATTTCCAAGTCATAGTAGATGATTTCTCACATTTTACTGTTGTAAATTTATTAAAGTATAAGAATGAAGCTGAAGAAAATCTAGTCAATTATGTTAAGCTGGTAGAAACACAACATGGTTTTAAAGTGAAGAGGATCAGACTAGACAACGGAGGTGAGGTTACGTCAAAAACCTTTAAAGCTTTTGCCAAGTCTAATGGTATAGTACTTCAGTACACGCTACCCTATAGCCCTCAAAGCAATGGGAAATCCGAACGTATGAATCGGACCTTACTTAATATGGTTCGAACCAAACTTGCGGAATCAGCGGTGCCCAAAGACCTATGGGGAGAAGCAATCAGATGTTCGGCATATGAATTAAACCGATGCCCCTCAAGTGTTTTGGAAGATGAAACCACTCCTTGTAAAATTTGGTACGGTCAACAAACTCTATCAAAACTCAAAGTTTTTGGCTGTAAAGTGTGGTATACCTGTATACCTAAAGGTAGTAAACTTGATCCCCGTTCAAAGTGTGGAGTTATGATCGGATATTGTGGAGGAGGCTACAGAATATGGAGTCCAGAAGAAAGAAGAGTAGTTTTATCAAGAGATGTAGTATTCATCGAAAATCAAATGTATTTTAAGTCAAATAAAATTAACATTGAACAGCCAGAAGAAAGTATTCAAGAAACTAACAAGAGTCCGATGAAGAAATCCCCCACTAAGCAGTCACCAACGTGTAAAAAGAGTCCGATAAATCAATCGCCAAGACCCGTGAAGCAAGGTCCCACAATTGAAGAAGCGGAAGAAGAATTGGAGCTTGAAGATTCAGAAGAATTTTCTGTACCGAAATCGCCAGCCGATCCAAAGTTAGTCAACAGACCAACTAGAGAAAGAAGAAAACCTGTTTATTTACAAGATTATGATGTATATAATGCTTATTGTCTTTTAACCAGTTGTTTCCAGCCTGAAACTTATCAAGAGGCCGTCAAAAGTGAAGAATGGAAGCAGGCTATAGGTGCAGAATTGAACGCTCACCAAGAACTTGGAACGTGGGAAGCAGCAACATTACCGCCTGGTGAAAAGGCCATTGACCTGAAGTGGGTGTTTACCTCTAAATGCGATGGAACCAAAAAGGCTCGTTTAGTGGCTAAAGGATTCCAACAGCCTACAATGTATGATGAGCTAACCTATGCGCCTGTTTGTAGGATTCCTACCTTAAGAATTTTGTTGTCACAGACTGTTAATAATAATTGGCCTTTAAAGCAGATCGATGTGCCGGCAGCATTCCTGAATGGTACGTTAAAAGAAGACATCTACATAAAAAGACCCGAAGGTGTAAACGAAGAAAGCGAAGTTTATAAACTGAAGCGTGCATTATATGGATTACGTGTATCACCGAAGTGCTGGAATGACACGATTAATGAAACTGTTGAAAAGTTTGGACTTTCTAGATCGAAGCATGATTATTGCCTTTACAGTGCAAAAGGCATTTATTTACTTTTGTTTGTTGATGATGCCCTAATAACTGGCGACAGTGAAAAAATCGACAGTTTAATCTCTTATCTTTATAAGGAATTTAAAGTAAAAATGTTAGGAGATGCTAAATGTTTCCTTGGTATGGAAATCCTGAGAAATGAAAATTGTATCGAAGTCAAGCAAACTAGGATCATTGAACGGCTCCTCAACGACTATGGTATGGACAGTTGCCATCCCGTGTCAACCCCACTTGAAAAAGGCTTCCAACTCACAGAAGATGAACTAAATAATGAAGTGCCTTATAGGAGTCTAGTATGCAGCTTAATGTACATTGCAGTAACATCGAGACCTGATATTTCTTACGCTGTGTCACTACTTAGTCGGGTTCTCGACAAGCCTTCAAATCAAAGCTGGAGAGCAGCCAAACGAGTTCTGCGGTACCTGAGCGGGACAAAAACCATTGGTCTGACGTTCAACAAGGGAGTTCCTAATCTTCTGGGATATTCCGATGCTGATTGGGGAGGAGATATTGAATCAAGGAAGAGTACTAGCGGCTTTGTAGCGCTCTGCAGTGGAAATCCCGTAGCTTGGTTCTCGAAGAAGCAGTCCTGTGTGGCCCTATCTACGATGGAAGCTGAGTACTACGCAGCATCAGCAGGGGCTCAAGAGCTAGTGAACCTAATTGGAATAGTGTCAGTGTTCTGTGAAGGTGTGAAACCAAAGGCCTGTCTAAGTGTCGATAATGCTAGTGCAGTTTCATTGGTGAAAACCTTTCAAAATTCCAAAAGAGGGAAACACATTGATATAAGAGCGCATTTTATTAAGGATCTTTGTCAAAAGGGCATCATTGATGTAAAATATGTAAGTACTTATGATAACCTAGCTGATATGTTTACTAAAGCCTTAAGCAAAGACAAATTTATTCCTTTGCGAAATGCTGTAATGAATGTTAAAGGTTAAATTCACTTTCTGAACTAGGCCTAGGCTGTTATGTTATTTTGTGCCATTTAAATATTTATAGGTTTGTTTATGTGTATATATTTTCTTTTTATGATCTTTATGGGCAGATATAAATATGTACTTTAATTGTAACAATTCATGCAAACTATTTTTGAAAGGGTTAAAATGTTCAAGACAAATCAAATGAGCTAGGCCTAATGAGGCAATTTATCCAATTTTTGATGTTATATGCAAACTTAATATTCTATGTTACAAGTTAGGTCTATAGGAGTTTGTCTCATGTTGTATATGTTTTTATGGTGTTAGCCTATCTTTGTAATGGATTATTCTAAAGAGTAGGCCCTATTTCTCATGTAAAAATCAATCATTTATTTTTTGTAAATTGTGCTATTAGGCTATGTCCTATTTCTCAAAACTCAATCATTCATTTTGTAAATTGTGCTATTGTCCCATTTCTCATGTAAAACTCAATCATATTTCTCATGTTAGGTAATTCTCAAATTAATTTCCTTTAGGCTAGGCTACTGTAGTTTATCGATTAAAATTTTTCTTTGAGAGTTATAAAAATATTAATCGAGAGGGGTGTGTTATATAATGTACTTTTTCATAATAGCCTAGCTAAGTCACTATTGCCGAAGGCGTTTTTTGGTTACTTCTTCTTCTTATCCTTAAAGCGGAAATGTCATTCTGTTGTAGGGTTATGTCTGTCTCATGGTGTTGTATTAATGATGTAGAGATAGAAATGTGGTCAATCTTATTTTCGGATGATTTGCTTAATAAACTAAAGTTGTTCTTTAATGGTGAAGTTTATTAATGCCCTCCGCCTCAACAGTCTACCCACACTACTTTGTGTGAGCATTAACATATACTCTTAATCACACTTTCTCTGTGCTTCAGCATGGACTATTGTGATGAGGCTGGGGTAGTTAATGATCCTAATGAGAAAGCAACCTAGTCTACCCACACTACCTTGTGTGAGCATTAATGTATAATATTAATCTCACTTTCTCTGTGTTTCAGCATGGACTATTGTGATGAGGTTGGGGTTGTTAATGAGGAAGCAACCTAGTCTACCCACACTACTTTGTGTGAGCATTAACATATACTCTTAATCACACTTTCTCTGTGTTTCAGCATGGACTATTGTGATAAGGCTATCGAGTTAATGATCCTAATGAGGAAGCAACCTAGTCTACCCACACTACCTTGTGTGAGCATTAACATATACTCTTAATCACACTTTCTTTGTGTTTCAGCATGGACTATTGTGATGAGGCTGGGGTAGTTAATGATCCTAATGAGGAAGCAACCTAGTCTACTCACACTACTTTGTGTGAGCATTAACATATACTCTTAATCACACTTTCTCTGTGTTTCAGCATGGACTATTGTGATGAGGCTAGTGTAGTTAATGATCCTAATGAGAAAGCAACCTAGTCTACCCACACTACTTTGTGTGAGCATTAACATATACTCTTAATCACACTTTCTCTGTGTTTCAGCATGGACTATTGTGATAAGGCTAGTGTAGTTAATGATCCTAATGAGGAAGCAACCTAGTCTACCCACACTACCTTGTGTGAGCATTAACATATACTCTTAATCACACTTTCTTTGTGTTTCAGCATGGACTATTGTGATGAGGCTGGGGTAGTTAATGGTCCTAATGGAGAAACAAACTCATCTGCTTTTTCTGTAAACAAATTTCATTTTGAAGGCGTTTCTTTCCATTCAGATGAATTCCCTGCTGAATTGAGAACATTTTCAAGATCATTAATAATTGATAAGGTAAGTCCTCACAATTTTGTTCATTTTACAGAATTTCACATATGTTGAGGGAAGCTATTCCAGTAGATCTTGTCTCGAGATGCGTATCAGTTACTAGTTTTAAAACGTCAGGAATCAGAAATATTTATTAACCATTAATCATATTACAGGAAATAGGAATCGTTATACATTATTGACCTTTAATATTTTAATGGCGTGAACTTCACTATCACTCTGAGCCAAAGAACAACTGTAAACATGTTCATACATGTTAATTTGCTCAGACTTTTGTTAGCTACTTTACTATTGTATTAACTGGGGGTTTCCTTTAAAAATATCTAGATTCATTACAGTGCTCAGATTTGCTATTTCAAGCTTTGATTGCTTTGTTTTCAGGTTTGGATATAACCATAGACTAAGCAACACAAGTAGACTCCTCATCCCATTGCAAATTTTGAAGCATGTTTTTCGTGTCTAGTTCATGTACGTCCACACTGAACGCTGGGGTAGACGAAATTTTTTTTCTATTATTTTAGGATTATTTTCATGATTTTTGCTTTACTATTTGGTTATATAACTAGGAGACCAGTTATTGTTTATGATTATATCATTTTATTTGGTTAAATGAGGTTTTCAATTACTGAAATAACAAGGAACAAATTGTAAACAAAACACAACCTCTACAGTTGGATGTACAGAACTAAGAATAAAATTGGCTTCAGCTGTTCCATAAGGATGACAAATCTACTAAGGGAGTAGGTTTTATCTATGATATAACTCTCTGCAAAGAATTTGTTTAACTTATTTTAAGGGTGCAAATCCAGAAAAAGGTACATTCTCACTTACAGATGAAGAGTTATTTAAGATTACATGGGCTGTCACAGTGCATTGTTGAGCTTGGAGGTTTAGTTGTTCCTTGGATTTTCGGAGCATCTGTAGAGGAGAGGTTCAGTTGCTCTTTGGGTCTTCGGAGCGTCTGTTAGGAGAGGTTCAGTTGCTCTTTGGGTCTTCGGAGCGTCTGTTAGGATAGGTTCAGTTGCTCTTTGGGTCTTCGGAGCGTCTTTTAGGAGAGGTTTAGTTGTTCCTTGGATCTTCGGAGCATCTGTAGAGGAGAGGTTCAGTTGCTCTTTGGGTCTTTGGAGCGTCTGTTAGGAGAGGTTCAGTTGCTCTTTGGGTCTTCGGAGCGTCTGTTAGGAGAGGTTCAGTTGCTCTGTGGGTCTTCAGAGCATCTGTTAGGATAGGTTCAGTTGCTCTTTGGGTCTTCGGAGCGTCTTTTAGGAGAGGTTTAGTTGTTCCTTGGATCTTCGGAGCATCTGTAGAGGAGAGGTTCAGTTGCTCTTTGGGTCTTTGGAGTGTCTGTTAGGAGAGGTTTAGTTGTTCCTTGGATCCTTGGAGCATCTGTAGAGGAGAGGTTCAGTTGCTCTTTAGGACTTCGGAGCGTCGGAGAGGTACAGTTGCTCTGTGGGTCTTCAGAGCATCTGTTAGGATAGGTTCAGTTGCTCTTTGGGTCTTCGGAGCGTCTTTTAGGAGAGGTTTAGTTGTTCCTTGGATCTTCAGAGCATCTGTAGAGGAGAGGTTCAGTTGCCCTTTGGGTCTTTGGAGGGTCTGTTAGGAGAGGTTTAGTTGTTCCTTGGATCTTCGGAGCATCTGTAGAGGAGAGGTTCAGTTGCTCTTTGGATCTTCGGAGCATTTGTTTGCTTCTTACTCAGTGATGGAGATGTGGGTGTTGGCAATGTGTGTTGAATGTTGACGTGAGTATCACTGGATGGAAATGTAGGATTCTACTGTAGAGGAGTATGGTCTTCATTATCACCATGATGGCTTCTGATAAATCTGACAACTACATTGGAGATGGTTTTCTCTTTTGTTACTAAAATGTAACCCGTGCCTTGTGTGGTAACGTCTTTCAAGGGTCCATAGGTCAAGAAGCTTAATTTCAATTATCAATTAATTACACATTATTATGGAAGACTCTAACATAAATATAATCTGTTTTAATGAACATTGTTTGAATTCAAATCAAATAAGTATGTTATCTGGCTTTAAAAACTACATGTTGGTAGCATATTATTGTAGAAATACTGGTGCGAGAGGGGGATCTTGTATTCTCTTAAAGCAAACCCTTATTTTTAAAGAAATGACTGACTTTTATATCTTTAACGAAGAAAGCACTTTTGAAGTCTGTAGTATTGAAATACCCTCTACTAAGGTTATTGTAATTTCTATCTATAGAACTCCGTATGAAAATAATTTAAAACAATTTTTAGATAAGCTAGAATCTCTTCTTTGTAAACTGCAAAAGTATATAAAAACACATCAGATATACATAGCAGCAGACTTCAACATAGATATTTTACCAAATTCATACTCACATAATAATAGAACAAAGTTTTTAAATTTAATTAATATGTATGGCTTTAATATGAACTTCTGTTCACCAACCAGAATAACACATAACACAAGTACCTCCATTGACAATATTTTAACTAATGATGTTCTGAGACCAGAAGTAAAGAGGTCCAAAATGAATCTTGAGTTAGGTTTGTCAGACCATAGGGCACTCTTTATTGAAATGCCAAGAAATAAACTGTTAGATGAAAAGGTAGATTGCAAAAGAAGGTTGTTTTCACAAACAAATAAGGCTTTATATATATAGATGTATTTCAGAAATTAACTGGAGCTTATCACTTGTAAAGGACGCTCAGAGAAATTTTGATAGTTTTTTGCATGACTTTTTAGTTTTTCTCAAAAAGGTTAAAAAAAGACAAACTTAAAAAAAAGCTGGGTAACTAAAGGAATTAAAGTATCTAGCAACAAAAAAAGACAATTGAGTATTCTTTGTTTGAAGTTCATTGTTGGTGATGGTGAGTTAATGTTGTTCAAAGGTTTATTGCGGACATTTTCCATCACGAAAGTAAAAAACAATACACAACGTTTCGGGATCTGGAATCTGATCCCGTCTTCAGGTGAAAAAACTTAACTAACACATTACAACTAACAATACACAAACGCCCAACCTAAGTTGGAATACACTACCGAGGGTAGTAGTCAAAAAATATGCACTGTATAGCAGTCAAGTCATGATACAACATGCAATTAATAACAAATCACAAAACACTATAATCTATAAAAGGTTTACGTACAAAAAACTCACACAATGGAACACTAACAACACCGTACGCTATGACTCCACCAATGAAACTGAACCAACATGGCTGACCAATCGGAAACACGGAGACAACAGAAATGGCTTCCGGTCCCTGGAAAAGTAAAACCAACAGAATGGCAGAGCGATGTACGATGCCGCAAGATGGGTGTTAATTATGTTTATTCCTATCACGAGTTTTACTACGAGTTAACATAACGTGCGAATTTTGAGGAGAACTCGTTATTTCCCTATTTATTGAACAATTAAGTTCCCTATCCTTTAGTTCCTTGTTCAAAATGGGTAGCCAAAGTGGCCTTATTTCAACCGATGACTGACTGATTGGTTGGTCTGCTAATTTAATGTATGAGGCTTCAATGAGTTTACGTTTGAAAAAATGAGGTTCCTTATGGACAATTTTTGCCTCTTCAAAATTCATACGATGATTTTCGGACCAGCAATGATGAGCGATCTTAGATTTTTCCACTAAACCTTTTTTGGTGTTTTCTCTGTGTTCTTTGATTCTAATGTTCAATGGTCTTTTTGTCTCGCCATAGTAAGGCCTGGAACAATCATTGCAATTTATTCTGTAAACACAGTTTTTAGTATCCTGAGTGTCATTTTTGGGTTTTGTTTTGACGAGACTCTGCCTAAGTGTGTTTTGTGTCCTAAATGCTGTTTGCACATTAAATTTCCTAGCAACCCTTCTGATCTTTTCCGACAGTCCTGACACATACGGGATTGACATGTGGACGAGTTTTTCCTTACGATTTTGTAAAGGTTCACGCGTAGCCCTATCTTTCTTGCATTTGTTTATAATGGATCGAGGGTATCCGTTACTAGCCAAATCCTGTTCTACTTTCTTAATTTCATCCTTTAACTCATCCTGATTGGAGCAAATGCTCTTAGCCCTGTCAAACAGAGAGTAAGCAACCCCCTCCTTGACAGAAATTTGGTGGTTTGATTGAAAGTTTAGATACTGCCCTGTGTGTGTCTTTTTTCTATAAACAGATGTTCTAAGACTGTTCAAATGCTTTTCTACGCACACGTCCAAAAAGGGGAGTTTGTTTTGTGATTCCACCTCCATGGTTAGTTTTATGGAGGATAGGTAGTTTTCCTTAGAGTTGGAGGTAGTTTTCCAACTTAGGTTGGGCGTTTGTGTATTGTTAGTTGTAATGTGTTAGTTAAGTTTTTTCACCTGAAGACGGGATCAGATTCCAGATCCCGAAACGTTGTGTATTGTTTTTTACTTTCGTGATGGAAAATGTCCGCAATAAACCTTTGAACAAAATTGAGTATTATTGCCAAAACTAACCAGGACATTAATTTAAAAAAAATATTACCGAAACTACAGGAAAATATTTAAAACTGTTTGTGATAAAGCTAGAAAATTGTTTAACTGTAAGATAATATCAAGTGCTGATAACAAAAGTAAAGCTGTATGGAGTGTTGTGAAGTCTGAGCTTGGAGTTTTAAATGCCAAAAATGTAGACTTCCCGGATGTGTATGTAAAAGATGGTCAAATCATTGCTAACTTCTTTAATGAAAAATTTGCTAATGTTTCCAAAGATAATAATTTTAACTCCTATATCTATTCAGCAACTGAGCTAGCAAAAAAAAATGTATATTAATTCGGATATAAAATTTCAATTCAGACATATAACAGTATCGGACGTTAAAAAATCAATTAAAAAATTAAAAAATAAAAAGTCAGTTGGATGGGATGAGATTCCTATTGAAATAGTTAAGAATATAACAAATTCTATTGCACAACCGCTTTGTCTAATAATTAATCAATGCTTTGATGAAGGAATTTTTCCACATCAACTGAAAAATGCGGAACTAAAACCACTGTATAAAAAAGGTTCGCCGGGAAATCCTGAAAACTATCGTCCCGTATCCATTTTACCATGTTTATCAAAGGTTTTTGAAAAACTTGCATACAACCAAATTTATTCATATTTTGAAGACAATTTCTTATTCACAGAAAAACAATTTGGATTTAGATCTGGAAAAAACACAACAATGGCTGTCTCAGAGTTCATAAATCAAGTAACGGCTGGCCTGGATGGATCGCAGAGTACAGCGGCGGTGTTCTGTGATCTATCCAAGGTGTTTGATTGTGTAAATTATGACGTTTTAATGAGCAAACTTCGACATTATTCATTTTCTGACATGGCTTTGTCTTGGATTGATTCTTATTTAACTAACAGGAAACAAAGAACATCAATTATAAAAAATGGCAAAAAGTTTATCTCGAATTGGCACGAAGTTAAATGTGGTGTCCCACAAGGCTCGATATTAGGTCCTTTATTATTTTGAATTTTTGTGAATGATGTACCTCAAAATGTATCTTCTAGCCTCATATTATATGCTGATGACACTACAGCCATAGTTAAAGCAAAAGATATACCCAATCTAAAATAAGAACTCAACCGCTCACTTATAGATTTGTCCAGTTGGTTTACAGTAAATGGGCTGCAACTCAATAGTTCTAAAACACAGGTTATGTTATTTCAAACAATCCAAAATAGAGAGAATCAAAATTTTGAATTATGCTATCAAAGCGATACTTTACCTTTTGTTGAACATACAAAGTTCTTAGGTTTAATAATTGAAAGAAATTTAACATGGAAACCACATATAGACATAATAGTAGAGAGATTGAATACAGCCTGTTCTCAAATGTATGTTTTAAGGAATATAATCGATTTGAAAACTAAACTTACTGTATATTATGCAATGTTTTATTCTATCATGCAGTATGGAATTGAACTGTGGGGCTCAACTTCATATGCCAACACAGTTTTTAAATAAAAAACAAAAGAAATTTTTAAGAAAATATGACATATTAACAATGCCTTTTTTATATCTATTTAAAATGATGGTTTCCTTCAAAAGTAACAATCAATTCATCCATCAATACCCGACTCATTTAAAAAATAATTTTAAATTTCCAAGACATCGCCTCTGTCTGTATGAACGATCACCATTCTATATGAGTCTCAGACTTTACAACAGTCTACCTGCCAAATTCAGAGAAATTACCAATATTTCAAAATTCAAAAACGAGTTTAAGATGTATCTTTTACAAAAACAGAGTTTGAGTCTATTTCTGAATATTTGAATAACAGTTAAACATTTTTTTATTAGAGTAGGCCTACATTTATTTAGTTTATAGGAATGTTTTGTAAATCTAGTTTTAATAATGGACAATGTCACCTGTTTCATCAGCATTGCTGAAAACTTGAAATGTATTGTGACAATAAAGGAATATTTCATTTCATTTAATTTATTTCATTAGGCCCCCAGTGCCACGAGACTATCAGCACGGATCGCATTACATCTTAGTCTAGGGCCCCCCTCACTTGGTTCTGTAGGTGGACCAACACCCAGTGGCAGAAGGTAGCTCTCCGCAGCTAACAAGTGAGAGTTGGAGTTTAGGTGTGGCTAATCTGCGGAACCAACCCCGCATGCGAGGTTTGGCCGGAACAGCGCGAAAGGTTCTCCCACTCCCTAAGCCCCCAAACCTTCCGATCTCCCGGCTGCTCTTTAGTCCCTGGCTCGCTTGATCTGTGGTGGGAGTCGCAAGAGATGGTTTTCTCCACTACTTCTTCCTCTCCCACTATCTCGCTTTCTCCCGCTACTCAGATTTAATTTGAAATTTCGGGTTAAATAAATCTTTTGGTGGGGGTAATGGATCATCATGATAATTTATCAAATATGGCGATTTAAATTGATGAATTTTATCAAAATTATAAAATAATATACTAATTTGTAACAGGTTTTTATAAAATAAACATGTTGCATCTTTGATTGTAAAAGATAAATGATGTTAGACATTGTTTCAGACACTGGATTCTGAATTGGACCTTTCATTAAAAACGGATACGAAACCAATCATTATTGCTAAGCTCGGAGGCCGCCAAGAAGTGAGATTGAAAATAAAAAAGGGAGAGAATATTCAAGGACCAAAGGTAGGTAATAAAACTAGCTGTTATCCACGGGCTCCATCCCGTTTGACTTCATAAGTATTAATAAAACTATTGATTGGTTAAGTTAAGCTGAAAAAAACAAAACAGAATACAGAATACAAACAAATAATCACACCTGATTTTAATTAGGTAATAAATGGAAAAAATTGAACAATTCATCAATTGTATTGAACGTTTAGTTTTATAAACGCTATGATTTTTACATCAATGTATAATAACTCCCTGGATTGCACACTCAGGTTGAAGTAGGGCTCTGAAAACGGTCTGTTGCTACCTCGCTCTGCCCGCCAGGTGTGGGGATAAAGGCATGACTCACCCTAGTGCCGAGCGTCGTGCCCGCTCTCGCCGCGTATTGCTATATTAGTTTTGTGGAAATATTACTAACAAAATTGATTGTAATGAACTTAAGGAGGTTTTATAAGCAGATATAATTAATCTAAGTACTTGCTCACACTTTACAGACTATGTATCAACAGTAAATCTCAGAAGAAATTTAGTGATGTTATTTATATTTGAACATTGGCCAGAACAAAATATCACAACAATTATTTGATCACACAAGCATGTCATCATTTGCTGCTGTGAGCCCCAATTATTATTGGGAGACTTTGCAACATGTAAGAATAGACATTTTGTTTATTTTACTGTATGTTTCTTTCTGATACTGTGATTAACGTGTTTCAAAAATATATTATATGTTGTTAAATAAAAGGAGTGTATAATATTTTATGCCAATATCTCCAATTCATTGATTATTCTCAGTGAAGTAAAATAATTACAAAAAATATTTCCTCAGGTTAATATTAAATACTACTGTAAATCCAAAATTTATTCTTTGATTCAACAAATTTTTTAAAAACTAGACTAAGGTAAGCAATAAAATGCATAAACATACGCTTGTAAACTTAGTTACGCATTCTTCATAATGTAAAGACATATTTGGTGTAATATAATGATAATTAAATACCAGAAACTTAGTATTTAAATCCCGTAAACTGATGTCTAGCCGGTCGAGCTCCTAGCGCCAATGCCGCGCCAAGCGATTTTTGCCTATTTTCAATCGCTTAAAAATAATACAAGCAAACTCTGTATAAAAAAAACTTCAAATAACAAATAATATTCATCCTTTATCCTAAAACTTTGCCGCAAGAGTTTTTTTCCTGACCAAAAAATAAAAAATTTCCTTGCCTACTACATTTTTCATTTTTTTTATTGGTGTTAAAAAACTATCATCAGTTTTAATTTGCCAAAATAAATTATAAAAAATATGTTAAGGTTGAAACTAACTACATAGTAATAAGCACTGGTTTTTACAGAAAAAAAATGTCAATTTGAAATTTTATGTTAACAAATAAGTGTAGCAGAGCAGGTTGAGTGAATGTATGTTTGTGTAAATCAGAGAGGTTCATTCGGCCCGTCCGCCTCAGTATCCCACCAATTCAAATGGTGGGCACATACCATTTTTCCACCACACAGCGTGATATCCAGTAGAGCATTATACATCGGTGGATTTTTATTTGAAAGCGGGTAGTTCTTATGTGGTAAGAGTTTATAAAAGAAAGTATATTGCATCTACAAACGACTGTTTAATGATTTGAGGAGGGACAATGTTACTGTTTTGCCTAGTACTGTATGAATAAGAATGACTAACAAATTTTGAAGGGTATTTTTTTTACATAAAATAGTTTTAAAAAATCTTCATGGATGGCAATGGTAGAATTTTAAGTTTGTAAAAGTTTTCTTTACATGATTCATCTTAGATATTTACTCAAGGGAGGTACAGAAGAGCCTTCAATGACGTCAGCTGTCGGATCTCCTCTTAAGGAACACCATTACCGCAACGATACGGAATTCAGTCATCGGCCTCGGTGGTGTAGAGGATAGCGTGTCCGGCTGATAATCCGAAAATTTACTTATTAAATTAAATTTAATTATTAAATTAAACTGTCATAACCTAACCAAACTAACCAAACATGCTGATAATGAAAAAATCGAATGAAGTTTTTACTAATCTAAAAAAAAACTTTTGTTCATAAAATAAAATTATAAATGCCTAAAATTCAATTTTTTTATTTTTTAATTAAACTGTCATAACCTAACCAAACCAAACAAACTTACTGATATGAAAAAAATTGTTGACAAAAAGTTAGTGCTGCCATTGGGATTCGAACCCAGCACGGCAGCACTAACTTATTGTCAACAATTTTTTTATCATATCAGCAAGTTTGGTAGGTTTGGTTAGGTTATGACGGTTTAATTTTATAATTACAAAATTATCAAATTGAATTTTAGGCATTTATAATTTTATTTATGAACAAAACTATTTTTAGATTAGTAAACCTTCATTCAATTTTTTCATTATCAGCACGTTTGGTTAGTTTGGTTAGGTTATGACAGTTTAATTAAATAATTGAAACATTTTAAGATTAATTTTATAATTTTTCTTAATTTTATAATTAACTAGGAGTGAAGTAAAAATTACGCACTGTTCTCTCTACTGCTGTTAACGGAAGAATTTTGAACTAAACTATGATGTCATCGTTGCTTCATTTGTACCTCCCTTAAGTCAGACCCTTCATGTTATTGCAATCCTAGTATGGCTCTTAGGGCTTTATCTTTCCAGACGAAAGCTTACTGTATGACAATATCTTTTAAGGCCCAATTTCACAAAATTCTCGCTAACGATGGTTTAGTTAATTTTTGGTAAGAACTAACCGATGATATAAACCACAGTTAAGGAAGTCTGGTTTCACATACAAAAACGCGTCAAAACTAACGCTGGTTTTATAAAGGAGGGTTAAGAGTAAAATTCAGGTGGCAGTGGCAGTGATCTGTCATAATACCAGGCTATTATGGGAGCAAGTAAACATAATCTAGAAAATAAATCAGTGTTTATGAGGTAGTGAAAAACACTGGAGAGAAGATAACAGGAATACAATAGAATCTGAGCAACAAGAACAAATAACAACAGAGAACAAGAATAAATAGCAAAACAATTAACATGAGTAAATAAAGGCAAAGCAATGTTGATGAAACATATCCAATTGAGGAACAAATTGATTGAGTTTAGCAGTCAAGTCAAGATTCAAAATAAAACTTTTTACAAGGAAGTTCAAGATTCTGTTTGTTAACTAACCAGTTTCTTGGTACATTTGAAGTAGTGAAAAAAAATCGGAGGCAACAGAGTTACAAGAAAGAGACACAATAAAGATAACATCAAAATAATGATCTTCTATAGGTACTAGCAGAATAATGACAATATAGGTTTAGTTATTTTCCTTAATAACGTCTGACCAAACGCAAAACAATTATTGTTTGAATGTTGGGTTAGGGTTACCCAAATCCGGGAAAAGGAAAAGGGAGCCTATTTTTTTCAAACAATGAAAAAAGGAATTTGATAATGTTGGTATAAAAATACTCTTTTCAGTCAGGATAAAAGAGTAGCTCTTGATCACCAATCAGCTCAACGCGATCGCTGATCACATACCTAGAGATACACCTTTACTAAAAACCTTGTGGGATAACCTAAAGCAATGTTGCCTAAAGAAAAAGACAAAACGTTTTGATAGTTCATATCTAGTAATAAAATCAACTTCGTCTTAATCAGTGGCGTACCGACGGGGGGGTGGCAGGGGCGGTCCGCCCCAGGCCCCACACCAACATAGGCCCCCAAATCAGGGCCGTATTCCCCTAACTTCAAACACGGCCATTGCCGAGGGCCTCTTGGCCTAGGAAGGGGCCTTACTTGGGTCTCAAAAATTGGAAAATAAATTTTGCTGTTGAATATAATAATCTTGTAATATTTCATGTCATTTCATTCATTATTTAGTATTAAGTTTCTTAAAATGTTAACTTTTATTCCTACACCTTTGTTAATAATCACTCCTCAGAAAAGCTGGCCTAATATTCGTTTTCCTAATTTATATAATTTCATTAATATGTTCAATTAATCATTAATAATATTCATTCAATAGCCTATAGGCTATATATTTTTTTTACAAAGCCCACAACTTAATTATTTATTAAATATGTAAGAGAATTGCAATGTTGCTGCTTTAGCCTAATCAAAGCAGATTATGGCTGTCCAGTTGGTAACCCAGAGTTTGTGGGTAAAAAATGGAGCACATGAAATGCTTGATATCACCCCACTTTTCAGGATTCTCTACGGCGAAAATTCGTTTGATTAGGGGGATGTCTCAAATCAAAGAAATAAAATTACCCAACTTAAATTACTTAACACAGGTTATCAGTAAGGTAACAGTTTTCTTCAATTCTCAATGCTGGAAAAACGTTGTTGCAACATGTTAACTCGAATTGAAGCAGATTGTTTAGCATTCATCAGAAGTTATCAGTTAAAACTGAGAGCAGAAATAATGTAGGTGAGCCATGGCGACGCAAATAGAGGTATTTAAAATTAGTTTCTAACAAGTGTTTAAACAACTTCTAAGATGTAACTAAAATTACTCGAATTTAAGCATAACGTTTTCCTCGGCGTTATGTTTCATACTATGCGGCTCATTGAGCCGCACGGGTTCTCTAGTTTCTTATGATATCATTTCAAAATTAGTCCTTAAGGAATCAAAATTTAAGAAGCAGTGAAAGTGATCCCATGTGTTCAACAATGAATTATGTGAACATTGAAATTGAAAGAAAAGGAAGCCATTGGAGAAGTTGAAACTGTTAGTTAGAAGGAGTCTAAATTTTATCTAAATCAAATTCATTCATCAAGAAGACCAGTTTATATCAAGTTATATCACAGTAGCATAAACCTCAAGAGGACTCAACTCCATCATTGTTATCTGAAAAATTAAGTATAAACTTTCCTTTAAACTCTTTTAATTCAGTGCTAATTGGACTTACCTTTTGGACAACATCAAAATTAGATTTTCATTGTTGAGATTTGTAAGTTTAACACCTTAATTAGGCCTATTTGGACACTATTCAATTTATTAATTATTAGCATTCAAGCCAGCACGACACCC